GCAAATTTTGTCAAGTATGTTCAGGAAAGATAGTGTATCATGATGATTATAAAAACTAGTGCATCTAGGATGGAGGAAATTAGCTAGTCTGTTTGGGAACTCTTCATGAAAACAGTTTGCCCCAGATTAACATCCTAATGTCTGGGGTTCCTGCTTCTGTTCTCATGCAGTCCCTAAGCCAGATGTATGGAATTCAAGCAGGTAAAACTATCCCCACCACATTTCTTCATGTAGATTATATGTTCCCCCTTAGTGCTTCATTCTGTCTCTGGGTAGTTTACAATATAATTATACAGGCTACACATTGCTCCCTTTTCCAGCTAGCTGGGTATGCAATGTTGTTGTTGTTTAGTTGTTAAGTTGTGTCCGACTTTTCGTAACCCCATGGACCAGAGCACACCAGGCCCTCCTGTCTTCCACTGCCTCCCGAAGTTGGGTCAGATTCATGTTGGTCGCGTCGATGACACTATCCAGCCATCCCATCCTCCATTGTCCCCTTCTCCTCTTGCCTTCACTCTTTCCCAACATCAGGGTCTTCAAACTCAAAAGAATGTAAGGCTGACTCAACCTTGAGCTGGCTACCGGAGCTTGTTGGATCAAACTCAGGTTGTGAGCACAGTGCCATGAGACAAGTCATGTCATTATCCAAAAATCACCCTTGCACTTGATAAGAAACTGTCTGCACATGGCTTTAGCATGTATGAAAACAGAACGTAGGTTACAGTCAAGGACCAAAGTCTATGGAAAATGTTCCCAATATATTCTTAAAAAGTGGTTGCTACCTAAAAATGAAACATAAATGCTTAAACATGATTCAAATCTTACAGCTATGAAAAGTTGCTGACTCTCAAATAGACAGAAGCTATTGGAGGCAGAATACAATGCATGTAGGAGTTTATACCCCAAATGAGCCCATATTAATACCGTCTCGTCTTGGGCTACCCAATTTATGCAAAACTGAAGGCAATTTCACTTCCTATTTATTCCCTCAATGCATATCCTCTCACCCAGACTTCCTGGGAGAAAACCCTCAGACCCTTTCAGAACAAGACTCCTCTTCCATTATGTTGCCTCTGTGGTCCATCCTCCTCGCGCTGGCGACCTCTTTCTCATGTGTGTTGGTTTTTACATTTTCTTGCCTAATTTCATTAATTAGCTCTAAGTTGCAGCTTCGTTTTTTGCCTTCTCGTCTCAACCCCTTCTTTCTTTTTCTCCTCTATCAAGGCGCCCACTCGCAAGTGGTTCTGACTCAGGAAGGTCCGGTTGTGAAAAAACCTGGAGAATCCCATAAACTGACCTGTGCCACCAGTGGGTTTAGTCTGAGTGGCTCAGGGATGCACTGGATCAGACAGAAACCTGGCAAAGGATTGGAATGGCTTGTGTACTATTACAGTGCTAGCCACAATAACTATTCCCCTTCCATCCGAGGGCGATTCACGGCCTCCAAGGGGGCCTCTGACTTCTATCTCCAAATGAATGACCTGAATGCAGAAGACACCACCGTGTATTACTGTGCAAGAGGCACAGTGAGAAACATCTTAGCAGACCTCAGACAAAAACTCTGGACTGCAGCCACTTTGGAGGGAAGTCCTCTGAGTGGCACCAATGAGTCATAAACCGTAAAGCCACCTGAAAGACGAGATCCACCAAGAAAAACATTGTACTGGAAAAATTACCAAGTCATTATTACGAGCTGAGAACAGCTGCTACTCCTGAAGCCAACTTCACTATGTGGGAGGCTGCTTCATCTCCTTCTAATGCAGTTCTACAAATGTGCTATTGGGTTCCCTACCCTCTCTCTCTCCATCAAATACTTCTTTAGAGCCTTTTGAGGGAAACCCAAGTGCCTCATTCTTATTATCATCATTATTAACAGTGAACGGATGCTAGTCTATAAACTAAATTCATTACAATGGGAGACTAATTAAAAGGTTCGCTAGGAATAATGGAGATAGGGACGTGGTGGCGCTGCAGGTTCAACCACAGAGCCTCTGGGCTGCAACGTCGTAAGACCAGCTGTTCGAGTCCAAGCGACGGAGGGAGCTCCCGTCGCTCAGCCCAGCTCCCGCCAACCTAGCCGTTCGAAAGCATGTAAAAATGTGAGTAGATAAATAGGGACAACCATGGTGGGAAAGTAACAGCGTTCTGTGTCTAGTCATGCTGGCCACATGATGACGGAAACTATCTACAGACAAACGCTGGTTCTATGGCTTGGAAACGGGGATGAGCACCACCCCCTAGAGTTGAACACGACTGGACTAAAGGTCAAAGGGGAATCTTTACCTAGGAATAACGGAAGTTGTCACTCAATGAATATTGAAGGCACCAGATCAGAGGAAGCTTCCCTTGGCTCAGCGGTTCCCAACTTTGGGTGCCCAGATGTTCTTGGAATAAAATTCCCAGAAGCCTTCCCCACTGGCTGTGTTAGCCAGGAGTTCTGGCGGTTGAAGTCCAAGAACATCTGGGGACCCAAGGCTGGGAAAGACTGCCTTAGCTAGACACCTAAATGGAACAAACTAAGCACTTCTCATGCTTTCCCCCTGGAGGAAGCTGTTGCTTGTCTCCCTATGTTCCAGGAAACCTCGCCATAGAAGAAGTAGAAGACACACAATCTCAAGGTGTAGAGGAGAGGGAAAATCATGTCTGAACCCTCTCAAATCTTTACATCATGCTTCTGCATCGCGCAAAGGTGCCTCCTCTGAAATCATTTTGCAAAGGGAGGGAAAGGATTTAGACGTTTCCCCACCACCACACAAACTTCTTCTGCTTATATTGTTTTTGGAAATCAAATTAAAAACAGTACACGGAGATGGAAAACCCTCTGAGATCACATAGTACAGTGGTGCCTCGCTTAACGATTGCCCTGCATTACGACAAAATTGCTGTACAACGATCTTTTTGTTATCGCAATTGCAATCACAAAACGATGGTCTAAATAGGGTTTTTTCACTTTGCGGTGATCGGTTCCCTGATTTGGGAACCGATTCTTCACAAAACAATGTTTTTTTAAACAGCTGATCGGCTGTTTCAAAATGGCCACCAGGTGCTTAAAATGGCTCCCCGCTGTGTTTAGGGATGGATTCCTCGCTATACAGGCAGCGAAAATGGCCACCGTATGGAGGATCTTCACTGGACAGTGAGTTTTTACCCCATTGGAATGCATTGAACACTCATGCGTTTCAATGGGGTTTTTAATTTTGTTTTACGATGTTTTCGCTTAATAGTGATTTTCCTGGAATGGATTATCGTCGTTAAGCGAGGCACCACTGAACAATGGCTGCTGTTGAGAAAGTCACCAGTCTTATTCAGGGGTGAGCTTTTTTATATACAAGCTCCTGCTAGTAACCCCCACTTCAAATACCAGTGATGACCACCAGACCAGAAATGGGATTCCATTCAGATGGTTAAGGAGATGAATCAATCCCTTGCTCACTACACTAAGTTACTACTCGAGTAAGCCAACAGAGGTCAGTGGAGCGGATGGAGGATCTCACCCACCAAATCCCCACGGAATCAAGGGGGCCTACTCTAACTGAGATTCCCTATGGTAAAGAACAGGATTTCGGTCCATAATTTCATTCTCTGTCCAACGATCGGGCCAGCCCTGAGCACAGTGAGGAGGTCTGGCTCAGCCTTTCCCTTCTCTGTGGACCTCCTCCCTAGAGCAATTCCACCAACATAGAACTATTTGTGCTTCATTCCACCCTTGGATCATGTCCTCAGAGGGTCCCTAGCCCTGCACAGTGGCAAACTCAAATGTCGTCACACCAAGTCCATTACAGGTGACAAGCCATGATGGGGACGTATCATCTCCAGGCTTAGAAAGAAGGGACCTCCAAAGGCCAGATGCAGGGGAGAAGGATCAGGAGACAGGTCTCTAGTTGTCTTGTGTGCTCCCAGAGGCATCTGGTGGGGCCACCATGAGAGACAGGAAGCTGGACTCAATGGGCCCTTGGCCCCAGGGCTCTTATGAGGTTCTTACGTTGGGCATTTGTGCCATCAGGATCCTCACCAGGCCCAACCCCAGTGATTGTCAATGCATAAAGGGCTACTTTGAGACTTTTATGCTCTATAGGTTTGTCCCTTCTTTTCTAAATATATAACCAATTTTTTAACAAAAGGATTCTGGTGTTTTAAAGACTACTGTAACCACACATACACTCATAGATATGCATCTCCGCCTCTAATGTAGCAAGATATTTGTGCATAGAGGGGTCCCGACTCTGCAACTCAGTATATATTATTCAAGCCAATGAGTCAAGGCACATGTCACAGGCTTGTGGTCCCTTAACACATTTCACCAGATGCTGCAACCTCCGACACTATACAAAGCAGTTGAGCCCATTTTATTACTGATTCCTCCTAGGCTGCCCATTTATGCAAAAGCAAATGCATTTTCACTTCCTATTTATTCCCTCAAAGCATATCATGTCACATCTACTTCCCAGGAAAACAGTCACAGTATCTTTTCGGATCTAGCCCGCTCTTCATTATGTCGCCTTTCTGGAACATGCCCCTCATTCTGGCCGCCTTCTCCTCATGTGTGTTGATTTTTTTTATGTTTTCTTGCGTAATTTCATTACACTCCAAGCCAAGGTTTTCTTTCTTACGCCTCTCTTATCTCAACTCTTTCTTTCCTTTCTTCTTTCAAAAGGTGCCCGCTCGCAAGTGGTTCTGACTCAGGAAGGTCCGATTGTGAAAAAACCTGGAGAATCCCATAAACTGACCTGTGCCACCAGTGGGTTTCCTCTGAGCAGCAGAACGATGCACTGGATCGGACAGAAAACTGGCCAAGGACTGGAATGGCTTGTTCGGTATTACAGCGCTGGAGACAATCAATATTCCCCTTCCATCCGAGGGCGATTCACGGCCTCTAAGAGTGCCTCTGACCTCTATCTCCAAATGAGTGACCTGAATGCAGAAGACACCGCCGTGTATTACTGTGCAAGAGAAACACAGTGAGAACCATCTGACCAGATCTCAGACAAAAACTCCATACTGCAGCAGCTTTGGAGGGAAGTCATGCGAGCAGCACCAGTCAGTCATAAATCATAAATCCATCAGACAGACTAGATGCTCAGAGGAAAACATTCTACAGGAAAACAGTACTGACTCTTTATTATTAGCCATGAACAGCTGCTGCTAACAATTAGCCTAAGTCCATTATGTTAGGATTTGCTTCATCTCTTTAAAATACAGGACAGTGGAGCCAAGCCATGCTCCACACCTCCCGGCTGTAGGGTTTCCTATCCTCCCTCCATCCAATGAGTTTGTTAAAACATTTTGAGTGAAGCCATGGTGCCTCCAGTTCAGCCTTGCTACTCGTTATCCTGATGATTCTGCAATCTGGTGTACCCGCCATGGGGAAAACTAACCTGGTTGCTTCGAGAAAATGTATTTTGTCCCCTCCTAATGTTTGAGATCCCCTCTTTGTCCTCGAGTCGTGTCTCTGATCCAGATTTGCGGGATTCAGGCACGTGAAACTTTTCCCGCTGCATCTCTCCATGCCATGATACTCCTCCATGGGTCCATGTCCTGAAGTGTAGGGCGCTATAAAAAGGCACAGGTGGCGAGCCAAGGGAAAGTCGGCAGGCTCCTGCCGGGAGTAACCAATGGGACAATAAGGCATTTCACAGAAGAACCTGATGCCTGTGGGAGAGGAATAACCGTGGTGTCTGAATTGCCAGAAAAAGCTGAGCTCCTCACTTCTCTCTATCTGCCTTCCCTTGCTTTGACATGGACTGAAATTCCTTTTTGTCCACATTTCCTCTTTGGCACCCTTGGCATCTTACTTATTCCCTTTCTCCTACCAGTGTGGTTCCACAAAGCAGGTTTCCTGAGACTGCCACCATCTCCACGTCTAGAAACTGCCTCTCCTTCCATTGTTTCCCCATCGTCTTGTATTAACCTAGAACCCAACGACTATCAAGAACTGGCCTTGGACGGCTGTCTCGTTGCAGCCTCCCCTTCCATGCCATGACTTTGGGGTGGACCTCCGTGATGGAGTCCCAAAAGAGAGCACAGCCTTTCCTCCTTAGATATATTGCTCACTTTGTGTTTGAGAGGGACAGAACTGTAAATGGGGAGAAAGAACCAGGTGCCTCTTCTGATTCGTTATTAGGAGAGACAATATGATAAAAACCAAGTGGGTCTCTGTCCAACACACAGTTCTAGAAAGGATAGCTGCGTTACTCTGTGCAAACATTATAGATAACAACAGGTTTTAAAAAGACAAAAATGTGGTGACATCTTTAAGACGACCTTCTCATTTTTTAATGTGACTTTCATGGACAAGTCCACTTCATCAAGCAATGGAGTCTACACACACCCACTCATACACACAGATCTTCATCTCGGATGCAACAAGGTATGACTGCACAGAGGGGTCCTTGGCTCTGCAAGTCACTTAAAATCACTTAAGTCAATGAGTCAAGGCACAAATCACAGGCTAATGGGCCCTTGACCCCTTTAAGGAGAATCTGCTCCCTGGGGATTCTATGTTCCAAACAAGGGGGTGAGCCCATATTAATACTGACACATCTTAGGCTGCCCCATTTATGCAAAACCAAAGACAATTTCACTTCCTATTTATTCCTTCAAAGCTGGTCACGTCACACGGACGCCCCAAGAAAACACTCACAGCATTTTTCAGAGCTAGCCTGCTGTTCCACGATGTCGTCTTTGTGGTCCATCCTCCTCATGCTGGCAGCCTCCTCCTCATGTCAGTTGGTTTTAATATTTTTCTTTGCTCTGTTTATGAATTACCTCTGATACATGGCTTTGTTTTCTCCTCTCCTTCTCAACTCTTTCTTCTCTTCTCTTTCAAGGCGCCCACTCGCAAGTGGTTCTGACTCAGGAAGGTCCAGTTGTGAAAAAACCTGGAGAATCCCATAAATTGACCTGTGCCACCAGTGGGTTTACTCTGAGTAGCACATGGATGAGCTGGATCCGACAGAAACCTGGCAAAGGATTGGAATGGCTTCTGGAGTATAAGGACAGTGGGAGCAATAACTACATCCCTGAAATTCGAGGGCGATTCACGGCCTCTAAGAGTGCCACTGAGTTCTATCTCCAAATGAATGACCTGAAATCCGAAGACACGGCCGTGTATTACTGTGCAAGATTCTCACAGTGAGGAACATCTTATCAGAGCTCAAACAATAACCCTGTACTGCAGCTGCTTTGTAGGGAAGTTGTGTGACAGGCATCAGTCAGGCATAAACCATGAACCCATCTGACAAATATAGCAAGGAAAATATTACAGTATACAGGAGAAAAAGTCATTATTGTTAGCAGTTCACTACTGCTAATCCTTGTCTGAAATCTCTTATTTTGGGGTCTGCTTCATCTCTTTCTAATGAAGCACAGTGAGACAAAGCCATGCGCCTTGCTTCTCTGCCAGAGGGGTTCCGATGCTTGCTCGATCAAGCGAATTCGCCAAGGTGCCTTGTGTTCAGTCTTCCTACTCGTTATTTCGATGATTCGGCAATATGGTGTACCCGCAACGGGAGAAATTAAACTGATAGTTTCTGGGAACCTTTTTGGAAAAGATATTTTGTCTCAGATTATCATCCTAATGTTTGACATTCCCTCTTTGTTTTCGAATCCTATCTCTGATTCTCATTTGTGGAATTTCGGTAGGTGAAACTTTCCCCAGTATATGTTTTATTTCTACTTAGATTCTAGCTTCCACAGGCATAACATGAAATCTAAACGTTGTTTTAAAATGTGAGTTTTCAGACATCATAGACAAAAAGCAAAAACTCAAAAGTGTGCTGCTTATGTAGCGCTTCAGTCTCTCTCTGGGCAGTCTAACTACCATCTAATTACGTAGGGTCCACATTGGCCCCCTCCCCAGCAAGATTGGCGCTCAATTTACAGACCTCAAAAGGATGGAAGGCTGAGTTTACCTTCAGCCAGCTGATTAAGCCTGGGTTCACACCCAGGTTGCGACCATAGTCTTCACCGCAGTACTGCAGTTTAACCACTGCAAGATGAGGTGAGCCCTTCCATCCTTCAAAGTTCATCCTACCACTATATAATTATAGGACACTGCAGGCACATCGCCTTACCAGATGTGAAAAAAGAACTTACATTGTAGACAAGCACCTAAGTCTAATGAGAAGGTATCCAATGAATTCTAAAAATGTGGTAGTTTATAATCTAGTCACAGGGCACATATCCTTAAGCAAGATTCAAAGTCTTACAGCTATGACAAGCTGCAGACTCTCAAATACACAGATGCTATTGTAGGCAGAATACAATTGATACAGGAGTTGTTGCCCCAAATGAGCCTATTTTAATACTGACAACTCTTATCCTGCCCAATTTATGCAAAACCGCATGCAATTTCGCTTCCTATTTATTCCCTCAAAGCATATCCTCTCACCCACACTTCCTGGGAGGAAAACCCTCAGACCTTTACAGAACAAGCCTGCTCTTCCAATATGTCGCCTTGGTGGTCCATTCTCCTCACGCTGGCAGCCTCCTTCTCATGTATGTTGGTTTTTATGTTTTCTTGCCTAATTTCATTACACTCCAAGCTATGGCTTCCTTTTTCCCTACCTTTTCATCTCAACTTTTTCTTTGTTTCCTTCTCTTACAAGGCGCCCACTCACAAGGGGTTCTGACTCAGGAAGGTCCGGTTGTGAAAAAACCTGGAGAGTCCCATCAACTCACCTGTGCCACCAGCAGGCCTGACCTTAGTGGCACGTGGATGAACTGGATTAGAGAAAAACCCAGCAGAAGATTCGAATGGCTTGTGCATTATAACAGCCCTGGGAACCATTATTATTCCCCTTTAATCCAAGGGCGATTCACTGCTTCCAAGGGGGCCTCCGACTTCTATCTCCACATGAGTGACCTCAAACCCGAAGATACGGCTGTGTATTTCTGTGCAGGGGACACAGTGATAAACAGTCCTTCCAGATCTCAGACGAAAACATCTGCACTGCAGGAGCTTTGGAGGGACGTCGTAGTGAGAGGCACCGGGAAGCCGTAAACCACAAACCCAACTGACAGACCAGATATACCAAGAAAAACTTTGTACAGGAAAGCAGAACCAACACATTCTTATTAGCACTGCAAAGCTGCTCATCTTTAGCCTAGGTCCATCACCTCGGAAGTGGCTTCATCCCCTTCTAATACAGTTATTGTTTTTGTTATGTCCCATCAAGGAACTTGTGACTTCTGTTGACCCTTTCAATGACAGATTTCCGAAAGGTTCTGCCCTTTTCAACTCTTGACAATTCCAGCCTCTGTCTTCCTTTAAGGAGTCCCTCCATCTTGTATTGGATCTTCCTCTTTTCCTGCTCCCTTCCACCTTTCCCAGCGTTATTGTCTTTTCCAGAGAATCCTGCCTTCTCACGATGTGCCCTAAGTAGGACAATCCTGGCATCAACCTTTTTCCCCCACAGATAATTTAGGCTTGATTTGCTCTAGCACCCACACGTTTCACTTTCGAGTAAGTCCATGCGGTCAGAGAAATACCACATCAGAATTGATGGAGGCAGGACCGAAAAGAGAAGTGGGAAGCCCTGGCCTCAGAGCAAGGGAACCGGGCTCGGCCTGAAGATTCCCTTGAGATTTTGAAGAAGCAGATGGAGGGAAACAACACTCTGTGCAGAGAACATCTGGAGCTGTTCAGCTCTGAACACACGGGTTTGTGGGCACTGGATCAGATGCACCAACATGTCATACGAGGGGAGAAAAAGGCAGAACTATTTCCATGAAGGACACAGATCTCATGTGTGTATCTTAAACCCAAAGACATTGGGGCAGAATCACCACCACCCACAGCCAGCATGAAGAGGTTGGGTAGGAATGATGATGAGAAAAGTTCCCTTGACACAGATGCAATTTGATTTACATTCCCAGATGCCTTCATCATCAGCTGCACTGACTAGGATTTCTCACTGTAGTTCAAGAACATCTAGAGAGCAGTGCTGGATTAGGGCCGCCCATTTGCTTCTGGTCACAGCTGGAACCCCTAGTATATGGGGCAAGGATACCACTTAGCACTCTGGAAATTTAGAGGGAATGCTGCTAGAGTCCCAAAGTTCAGAACCACTGGCTTAAGATAAGCACTGAAAGTGAAGCAATGACGCCTTTCTCGTTTTCACCCCCTGGAGGCAGCACTCAATCGTTCCAAGAAGCATCACCGAAATATAAACTGAAGACATACCCTCAAGCCTGGACATTCCCACAAAACTTCGCAATATCCTTATCTACGAAAGAGAACTGGTGCCCTCCCAAACCACTTTCAAGAGGGAGGGAAATTTTCATACCTTTCCCCCACTACACAACACTCCCATTGTTATATTATTTTTAGAAATCGAATTATAAACTATCAGTGGAAATGGGAGGTCCGTCTGAGACTCCACAGCGCAAGAGCTGCTCATGAGAAAGTTGCCAGCCTTCTATGGGTGTTTTTTGATACAACCTCCTGCCATGACCCCCACTTGGAAGACCAGTCAAAATCACCAGACTTAAAAAGGGGATGTCATACGGATTGTGGAGGAGCTGGATCAATTCCCGGCTTGCTACACTAGGAAAATCATAACTAGAGTAAGCCCACTGAAATCAGGGGAATGAATGGAGGAGCTCACTCACCAAATCCCCACTGAATCAAGGGGACCTACTCTAACTGAGATTCCCTATGGTAAGCAACAGGATGCCAGCCCATAATTTCATTTCCTTCCCAACGACAGGGCCAGCCCTGAGGAGGTTCTGGCTCAGCCATTCCATTCTCTGGAACTGTGGCTTGTAGGAATTCTCCTAACATGGAACTATTTCTGTTGATTTCACCTCACATTATCCTCCCAGAGGTTCCTTTGCCCTACAAGCAGAAAAGTCTTCACATCCCTTGACCAGGGCATTTCTGACATCAGAATCTTCACCAGGCCCAATTCCTATGATAGTCCTTACATAGAGACTGCTTTCAGACTTCTACAGCTTCGACCTTTTTTTTTTTAAAGTTGTGGTATTTTAAAGTCTGTCATCCCCACACATTCACTCAGATACACAGGTCTTAATCTTTCAAAAAGCAAGATCTTCCTGCATAGAGGAGTCCCTTTACTCTGCAACTCA